GTGACCTTTGTATGCCATGTAACAATGTGCGTGTGTGTGTGTGTGTGTCATCAAGTCAACCACATTGAGATGAACGCGATGATTTACCGCGCTGCACTTATGCTCTACGAATTTAGCTCGCTGCCATATTGCATTGTGTATGTGTGTGTATGCGTGTGGCTATTTACATATTTAGATCTGCGTATTACGAGCGTGCAAATACATTTTTGGCGCCAAACTGACAATGGTCGACAGCTGGCGATACAAAATTCTACACTTTTGTCAGCAAACTCATTCAGCGAACATGTTTGTTGTTCTTGTTGTCTGCTTGGTGGTTTGATGGTTGTGCGCGTTGATGACTGCGACATGCAATATTGGCCACAGCAACAACAAAAATGATAGAAAACATGATAAGCGCGTGACAGTGACACCAAAAGCAATTTTAATGAGTTCCTTGAGCGAACTTGATGAGCAAATAATTGGTTTTTCATTAGTACATATACCAAAATTATGTCACACATGCCCATCTGCGAGGGTGTGTGCGTGTTTAAAAGTTAATTTTCACAATTTTGTGGAGAATGTAAGTCAAGGCTCTGCAAAACGACTGAAAAACGTAATAAATTTTATTAATTATAATAAACGATATAAATTAATTGAGTTCATACAGTCTGCACTTTTTAGGAGAACAGTTGAAAGTATGTGTTATATAGTCTAAATACTACGGTAGTCTATGAGAAGCTTATTCCAAACTAAAACACACGCGGTTTATTTCTTAATGCTGTGAAATTCTTTGGCGGACAGATGGGAAGAAATCAGCGCAAGCTAGCAGATGATCGCACGACGTGTGTGAGAGTTTCAAAAACGATCTTGTACACAAAAATGTATACGCTGCCTGCGGCAAATCTTGACCTTCCTGCAAACTTCTCTGAGTTCGGGTATGTCTGTACGTTGACTTTGATTTTTTTTATCAGTTTCCAAATTCAACACTAAGCAAGGTGCATGCATCTGCTGCAAATACGATACACTAAGAAAGACACTTTCGACTACTGCGCGTTGAAATATTGACTGAAAAAATATGTGCGTCCAGCTGCGACTCTATTAATAGCCGCTTGGAAATTCTGCCAGACCACAGCACGCAAGTGTTGATAATTGAGCTAAAGTTCCTTTAGAATGTGGCATGAAATATGTGTGTGTAAGCACAGATATGAAGGCATGCAAACGCGACCACTTAAACCTCCACACATACGCAATAACACGCCGCAAACCTTAGATATTGCTTAGCAGCATATATGCATAAGCAAGTATATATTTGTTTGTGTAAAGATATTGCCTCCAATATCCGCTTTACGCACACAACCGAAATCAATTTCTATCCAAAGTATCAAAAACAAATTCATACACCCACTGCAAACATTCTCTAATGCATACAACTAACTACATTTGGGTTCACAGTAAGCCTCGGTCAAAGCTGGCACGGCTGGTCGGTAAAGCCACAATATGTTTGCTACTCAACGTTTGTGTATGAATCCATTTTATCCCATCCATCAAGACCTAGGCCTAAGGCGATTTTCAAACGGCTTCAAATCGCCGCGAGCTAATACCGTCACGAAGCAGCTTGGCTTGGACCCTTTAGTCCGCCGCCGATAGGGCATTCAAATTTTCAAACAGGTGTGTGTGTGTGTGTATATGTGCTGTGAAATAAAGTCACGTATGCATGAACCAATTACAAGCCTATGCAAACGGCGCTGCTCTCTTTTTTGTGTCTCCTTTAGCCTTAAAGCGATAGTAATGGAAATATTGATAGTTGTTGCTTTTTTGCTGTAATGCTTCTATTACCCGAGAAAGATAGCACCAACACTTTAGAGGCGAATTCAAATTGGGTTTAGTTTTGCAAAAACAAGAGAGATGTAGAAAAATGTAGTATACATTTATGCAGCGTTGCCCTAAAATCGGCGTATAAGTTTCATTAGTATCCTATAAACATAAGGTGTTAACCACGAAAATATGTGATATAAGTATGAGAACCCTATTATTTATTCGGGCGATTAGACAAACGGACATAAAATCAATTCGCCTGGGTCACCGCAAGCATTTTGCTATATTTAACTCCATTTTTAGGTGCCACAAGCACCCGTTATATGAGCCAAACTAATAAAAGCGTTTTATAATTTTCATAATATGAGTATATATGTATGTGTGTGAGTGAAAGTGTGAGTGCTGATATGAGTGCACTCTATTTAAAATTTTAGCTTTGGAAGTGCAATAACTACCGACGCAAAATTTATTTTAACTATTTAAAACACAAATATGTAAATTATCTCTATTGTCGAGCTAATGAGTAATGCGTGTTCTTTTCATAGGCCATTGGTAGCCCAAATATTATTGTAAGCATTTTCCGCTCCATTTGATATTGAGAGTAACTAATTTTGCTGTGGAAGCAATTAAAATTCTAACAACAAATTTTCAAACCTCCAAACAATTAAGTATATATCATCCGGAAAAATGTTATAAAAACAATGAAAATTAAGCAAAATCTTCAGTTCCTTGGAAACTAGGTGAGCGCATGTGCAAAATATTTCGGAGCAGCTTTCAAAGTGAGAACCCAAAAATAATTCAAAAAAAAAAAATTACGATAAATTTCGACCCCACTTATTTTATATATAATATTTTGAATAAAATGTAAGTAATAAAGTAATATGCAAAAGCTATATTTTACATCATAAATAACTAGGTATAGTGCTGTGAAATCTTTTTGTGAAAAATACTCAACGATGTATGCAAAATTCAAGCCAGAATTAAAGTTTCAAAAGTTGTTTTTTTTTTGCTGTGATAGAAACACATTCAAGTATTTTGCTATAGGAGGGCATTGCTAATCATACAAGCTCCAAACTGACCATAATCAAAAATGGTTGAAGTTGTTTAAAACTCAAAAAAACATAGTTTCGTCTTAGTTTATTATAATTTTTTTTTTTGTCTTTTGTTGCATTACTGTTATTCATTTGAGCAAAGCATTAAAGGTTAATTTTTTTTTCTTCCATCAGTGATATCCATATTGTTTGAATATTCTAAATTCTACTAATATTTTTAAATAAAAGCTTTTTGTACACTAAAGTGTACTTGTTTCACTAACCTAATTCAAAGCTCGATCGAAGTTCGAAGCTCAAAGGCGTTATTGGCAATTGCCGATAATATATAATAATTATATGCAATCATATATATATATATATAACTTGCAGCTGGAAAACTTACTTCAGGGGAGCTTTCAGAACTTTTGAAACTATCAGTGACGTGAAAGCACAAATCAAACAATATACTTATCATTGATTAAACTTCTTCTTATTTGTTTTAGTTAGCAAAACCCTGTTTGGCTTTGACAGTCTAATCCACCTACTACATGGTATATGTATCTATCATCTAGTTTAGCTTTGAACTGTTTTGTTTATAAATATCTCTTTAAAAGTGGATTCTTATATAAATATGGGATTATTTTGCAAATATTTACTATTTCCGCTTTATGTCATTATGGCTCTAAAGTGGTGTATTCAAAAAACTAATAGCATTCAAATGCAAAAGTAAAAGTCCAGATATAGATAAACGAGTTGCGTGCTTTGCTTTCCAATCACTTACGATGTGTTTTGACCAAATTAAATGCGGCGCTTTTGACGTAAATGTAAACGTAAGCAGTATGGCATTACATCCTACATACATCTTAAGCGCTAGCAGGCGCGACATGTGCATACGGCGAACAGGTTTGAGGCGAATTCAAACTCAGCCGGCGATAGCAATAAACATTCTTTAATACACCGTTACAAGAGAGTACATGCACACACACACTGACATATGCATGTACATATGTACAGTTAGGCGCTCAGATGCTGACTGCAAGCGCTTATCGGCTACTGCGGCGCTAATCAGCTGTTACGCTGCATACTATCATACCAAAGACTTATAAGTAGCTACTTAAGCTGTTGTTGTTTTTGTTGTGTTCGTAGAGGCGAACGTGACTGAAGCGCTCGCTATACTATTTTTAGTTGTTTCAAGCTGACTCAAGCCAACTCCGCACTGGTTTATCACTGTAGCAAGTAGTTTGTATGGCAAAAGTGATTGGTGTAAATGTACAAAAGCAACAGCAAATACAATGTAAACGTCGGAGCTGTTATTGAAAGAAGCTAAAGCGTTTTTTCCAGTTGACCGCATCGCTTAAATGCGGAAAAGAAAGCTGATGTAACAACAGGTCGGGATAATGGACAGCCTTAGACTCAAGAAAACATGTTCATACAAGTATCTACTTGCTAGACTTAAATATATCATTATATTCTGCGTCGGTTTTAACACTCCCACAATAGAAGACTAATCTAGCGAATTTATTAATGGATAGTAAGTACTACTGAAAATCGTACACAAAATCATACACGTGTATTTCAAACTGTATTTATGCTCAGTGAATTCTATTCGAATCCTTAAATCGACGCACTTAATCTCTTTCTACTTTTAAGTCGACAAAAAAGTTGCTCACTTGAAATTTGCATTTTAATCAGACGGCTGTGTTGCCGAGCACCTCTTTGGAATCAGGCAATGTCAGCACTCACTTCCTCTATTACTGTTTTTTCAATAATATTTGTCGACATATTTTCATGTGCACTTAACTAGTGAATGAAATATGCATATAATTCCATTGCCACAGTGAATCATACCACCCACTCGGGGTGTATAGAGAGGTGCTGTGGACGAAATTAAATAAAAGGATATTCCAGAATGCAAAATACTCTAGAACAAACCCCACTAGTTGGTATTTATTCCGGACCGGTTGGCTAGTATTCCGGTCTAGTTTGTTTCCTGTCCGAAAATCATACTTATACTTAATTATACTTGTAGTTATAAACTAGCCCTTTTCTGACCAATAATTCACAGCAACAAATTTCTGTTCATGTTTTTTCTTCTCTGCGGGGTATCTATATACATAAATTTATTACTTGCCAGTGGAGAGCTTATTCAATTTATGCACATATTAAAGTAGGTAATCAATATACACTTTAATTTGGATTATTTAGTCACGTTCTAATCTACTGTGTTCTATTTCGGCATTCGTTGAAAGCGAAAATTAAATTTGTACAAGAAAAACCTAGCATAAAAATAATTATATAAGAAATCGGAAGATATTTGAATACTTTTACCTTAGCATTAAAATTTCAGTTTGAGTTCAGTTCAGGAACAATAGGAATAAACGTTAATTATACGAAGTGAACTCGAGCAATCTTAAATGTTCACACTGCTGTTGTTGTTAATATTTAAAACTAAGTTTGACAATATTATACTCATAAATTGGAACGATGCAAAACACATAGCATTAAATTTATATATACTCGGTTCATCTCCTTGAAGCAATTCAGTGATATTTACGCGTTAGTTGGATATGTATAAATGTTGAATTTCATTTCATTACATTTTCCTTTTCTCCACCACTCTTCAATGTGCAGTATGCTCTGGCTTCCAAGACTATCACCCTTGAAAACTCTAGATTGTTAAGTTAAAGCGTTTATCAGGTCGATTTTTGACAGAAAAATTATCTAAAAACAAAGCAATGTTTTTCATATTGTCACTAGAGAGATTTGTCGTCAACCGCGCTCCATTTATTATCTCAATTCCGTTTGTTAAAAACGTTAAATAGTTTTATCATTATTCTTATCAGGTGGTTCCAAATATGTGAATGACGAGTTATATATCGCTTTTTGAGCCAATAAAGGTCTTTTTATAAATATTGGAGTAATAATACTATTGAAAACAACCATCATATACTAAAAATTCACAAGAAAAGCTAACTCTCACAATTGCACATTTTGAAGCCAGAATGCTGAGCACGTTGACAAACAAGCCCTACAACTAGTTCACACATTTATGGATTTGTTACATAAACGAGTGTATGTAAGTAGATATATACTCATTTAATTAAGCTGGTTTCTCTCGGTCAGAAAGTATTCTACTTTTCACGTAACGGCGAATTGGACATAAAGAAGTGTAATAAATGCGCGAGTGCTTTGCTACGCAGCGAATTACGACAACTGCTCACAGAGCCAAAACAAGTCCAACCTTAACAGAAAATGAGTTATGCGCTATGTACTACGTGACGCCGGCAGGTAGTTGTGTCGTGCCAGCCAAACGACCAGGTGATCAGGCGATACAAGACAGACGATTACAGCGAGAAGTGGGCGCGCACGCGTACTTCTTCAACTCATTAAACGCGTTTCGTATCTGGCGGTGTCGCGCCGCTCGTTCGTTTGGCGCCTTTCGTGCCGCTTGCCGTTGTCCACTGTAACGGGGCGGCTGTTTAGTGTTGGATGCCGTCGCCGCGCCACACATTTCGCCTACTTGGGGTTTTGCGTATATTTGAGTGTCTGTGAAACACGTTTGCGCATTCAGTTGCGAATTTAATTTGAACCGAGGCGGTGCTCGTTGCCACTGTCTGCTTTCAGCCGCTTTCAATTGACTGTTTTCGAATTTCAATTTTGTTTTGCAACGCCATGCAATTGAATAATAAAATTTGAGTAGTATTGAGTGGAATTTGCGGTCGCATAAATTATTTGTTTGATGTGCAACCAAAACAACACAACAACAAGCTGGATGTCACTGCACACGGTGTAATTTGCGGTATCGCTGAGCTAAAACAAATAAATAAATAGAGAAAATAAACGAAATGAAACAGATTTAGATGTGAAAATCGAAATTTGTACGATTTGGAGAGCGAAAACTGCAGCTCACGCCAAGCAAACAGCCTGCCGCTTAGCCGATTTTCACCATTTCTCGCTCAAGTAAATAAATATCGATTATATCAGAAACAGCTTAAAAGCCGTTTAACTGTTCATACAAATTGGAATTTCGACGACTTTTATATTTTTGTTGTGTATGCTTAACTTGTGTTGCAGTTTTGATTAAAATAAATCGCGAAAATATTCACCTTCTAACCAACTTTCAGCACGAATATCAAAAGGCAGTAACAACATGTTTAATCTACGAAGCCAACTAGATAAGGTAAGTTGCAATTCATTGTGGCTTCTGGCTTTCAAACTCCCGAGTTGCGATATTTTATCAAAGTATTTATAGTAAGTTCACACCCATTCCACGCAACGCAACTTTGGGCTTCACTAAGAACTGTGTTCTTAACTGTGCTTAAATAAAAGCCCTCTAGGAAATACCTGCAGGAATTCTATAATTTCACAAAGTTCAAGACGGTTTCGTGTGGTCTATTCTCTGATTTGCTGAATAAAGTATGATTTGTACCAGAATTTTAAATGATGATTAAAGAGTTGTTAAAATATTTCACTATAATGAGAATTGCTTACATAAAGTAAAAAAAAAACATTGTAAATACTTACTAAATAAAGACTATTGCTTGTATTCAGATAAGGCTTAACACATAGTGAAGTGAGCGAGCAGCATACGCTGCGAGGTGAATTTGAAAGCTGAGAGTCAAAGGCATAGCTATAATAAATCACTATATATATTTTATAAAATGGAATTATAGTTTTTAGCCGAAATTCACAAAAATATGTATTATATTTCACATAATATTTTATATTGTGTAATTTTTTTGTTTCGGCTAAAAAGTATTATTAAATAATTCATAGCATATACTAATTTAATACATGTTAAGCTTGTTTAAGATTGCTTTTAATTAAATTTAGTAATGACACCTTTATTGGACACTCAGTAGAGCTTCCCACGTGGTTTTAAACATCTCTGTTAGATGACTAAAAGATATAAAAAAGTGGTTTTTAGCAACAATGTCGCTTTCTCATATTTTCCAACAGGGATTAAATACCAATCGTTGGAATGTATGTGAACGTAGCCGCATTGGAAAGTTTGCAAAACAATGCACATAACCGCTCAGCGGCAAACTTACGCGACTGGTGAAAACTTTTCGCGTACAAACGTTTCAACTCTCCAGCGAAATCAATTAGGATTCTGTTGACTGTGTCTCATATACTTACGTGCCACTACAACGTTATATAAATTATATACGTCATGTTCATATGTTAATGGTTTGCCGATAGCCTTTCAATTGCTGTTAATTACTTTGTCTAATAAAACCCAAGCATTTTATTAGCTACACACACACTAACTCTTGAAGTTACAAATTATTTTGTTGTTATTGAATAAACTAACAAATAATACTTGTTGTTATTCAATGGTCTAACAAAAAGCCCTCTTCGATTCGCCACTTCTCTGCACGCTATATTTGAGCGCTGCTCTCTTGTCGACCTATTCGCATGCGCAGGCAACAACAAAGCTATCCTCTTTAATTCTACACTGGAGAGTTTGTGTATGCCAGACAAAAGAGGAATTGTATGCATTCAATATACTATAACGCCTAGACAACCATATATAGGTATAAAAATATACATTTTTATAGAACGTTTAAAATATAATATATAAGATACTTTGAAAAGGTTAATAATGAGGAAATTTAAAGAAGAAAAATGTGTTGAGAATTAGCAAGTCTAAATGAGCCAAAAAGGGGAAAAACTCATATAGATATTTACAAAATAATTTTAACATATTTTGAAGTCGATCTGGCGATTCGAGGTGCCGCAAACAAATACCCCTCCCTCCCGACTGTGAGGGTCACAAGAAATCACCAAATTGAAGAAAATAACTGTTTGGCGCCATTTTAAAGAACGCTATCAAGAATATCTGCATTTTTATCACAGGTTCTACAACTAGCTACCCAGTTACCATTTAATGCTTACGGTAAATCGAAATCATATTTTTGGAAACTCGTTAGTTTGACGTGTAAAGTCATTGGTATTCAAGTTCAAATTTATAAATTCATTAAGCAAATTCGTTTTTTAATGATTTTCCGCTATGTGCTTTTATGTTGTTTATGTTATGATTTCTGCTGTGTTTTATGGAATATACCGTTGGCTTTAAGCGACAACGTCTGAAACACTGAACTTGGCCTTGATTCGTATATACATATACATATACAATGCAGTAATGCAAATTATACAAGCACAGATGTTTATTACTATGCATATATACATATATATGTATGGGTCTGCACAGCTCCAACATAAAAATTTATCGAAGCATCTTTTAGGTCACAATTCGTTCGAAATTGCGCAATATTTTATTCAACTCACGACACAAATTGATTGTGTATGAATTTTTCATATTTAGCGATTGGCGAAATAAGTCCGTTTAATTTAATTTATGCATTTCGACAAAGCACGACAACGCAACAGCTTTCTCTTCTTATGTTATGTGTTCGCCTACGAATTGTGTTCACAAAGCAGCTGGGAAGGAAATGGCAATGTTTTGCTTTATTTCAAAAGCCGGCTTGCATGAGTCTTTCGTCACTTTTGATTGTATAATTTCTCACGCATTCCATCAAATTTCGCGTTAGTTTCTTCCGCTCCGCAACAGCTGAGCGAAAATGAGCACACCTAGAATAGCCGAAAACAGGGAATCCCAAACGCAAATCTAAGCCATTCGCTATTTGTTTGCCAAAGTATAGGTCCATAGATGTAGAGACTAAGCTCATTACGGCCTCAAATAGTGCATATTAATTATTTTACTAGACCTCTGGTAAAGTTCAATCGGAAATGAAATTCTACACATAAATCCGCATTTGGCGACCGGTAAAGTGTCTCATTGCCAACTCGGCTACCACAGTTTACTAATCGCTTGTGCGTACTGAATATTCGTAATATTTAATTTTTGTACTTTCAAGTGTGTTGACGTACATATTTACTCTGCACCTAGTTTCTGCGATGAATGAATTGAAAAAAAATTTAAAGGAAAATTAGTAAATTTTTCGATTACTTATTCAGATGTAGGAATACGTGTATATTCGAAAAAAAGATTCTTAACACTTTTGTTATATTTTTTTGTTGTGAGTGGAGTTTATTTTATCAGAAGAATTTTTGGTGATTTGAAAAGTAAACAAATAAGCTTCGCCCGAAATGACATTTGGTGAAGTCAACGCTTGAGCGCATATGAAATGGTGATTTGCTATTAAATATTTGATATTCACGATTGAAAGCGTTTGTAGAAATATACATATGTATCAACATAAATTTACGTTACCTAAATTTCAAATAAAAAACCATAAAAATTAGTAATATAGACAAAATTTTGACCATTTAATGTTGGAACAGTATTTCAGAAACACAACCACCGCGACAACGTCTAATAAAGGTTCTCTTGTTCATTTAATTTGAATCACTTTCACTCACCATAGGTCCATGTTCAACCTTAAGAAGAAAAAGTGAGCATAGCCAAAATTTACATTTTTCAAGCTATCAATCATTCTCTCGCGTATACATGCTACCACATGTAAACATATAAACATACATACATATATGCCTTGACAAATGCTTTGCTAATGAGTGCCGGCTCTTTAACATGTTTAAAAGCGTTTAGCTCATCATGTTTGTTTTCACATATTTTTGTTTGCTTTCAGTCTTCACTTAATTTTTGTTACTTTTCCGGCCAAATTTGCTTAAGTGACGTCATCACATAAAGAGCACACACATTTCGTACGACAATCTTAAAATTAGCGCTGCTGAAGACTGTAGAAAAAAAGTAATTGAAAACTCACTGAAGCTACTTAAAATTACCTCATTCCAATGTATAAATGCGAACAAGTGTAAAAAAAATTAAATAATTTAAAATTGCTGTTATAAGTGGCTTTCCTAAATGTTTTTAAGAAGAGCTTAACTTTTTGCTAACTCCTCATATTTGTGCCAATGAATTATACTCAATAAAGCTCATCGGCACTGTAATATAACTGTTTACGGGCGCGCGCCTGGGAGGAGCAACGAATAATCTGATCTAAAGTTTTAAGGTTTCTGCCGTCCTGAGTCTTTAAGACAACCAGTTTGATTCGTCGAAGCGAAAGAGTTTCGTCTAAAGGGTTTTCTATTAAAAAGTACTAAAACAATGACCATGCATTGACCAATCTAACCTTTGTCCACGTCGTCCCTTATAGCTTAAGTTCCATCGTGAGACTGCGATACATTTATTTGAAGTTTGTTTATTTATAAATTAATATTATATAATATAAAACTCGGAAGGAAGGTTTTCACAGTAGACAAGTTTGAAAGGAAGTAAATTCAGAATGATGCTCCAAATGCAAATACTGAACGAAATAACTTATAGTTTTATTAATATTATTTATCAATTATCTCGCTATCGCTGCCACCTCACTTCCCAGCGGTCGCCGCCATCGCCAGTCCATTGCATTGACGTCGGCCCGCGCATGTATGGAATAACAATTAACGACTCCAGCGCCAACGATAATTAACAATTAAGGTAGATTTTTCATCACCATATAAATACAATCGAAAACAATAAAAAACACGTGCCCAAAACACACATGACCGCTACAGTAAATCCAGTCAAATTCAAATTTTCAGTGGAATTGTGGAACATCTGAATTTACTCCGCTTAATGCATTCAAAAATATGCATTTCGACTCGTTAAATTCGATTTTTTTTTTCATTTTCTTATTTTAGCGGCATTCGAGAAAGTGTTACATGCATCTGCAATCAAGTAGTTTAATCTGACGCACAACTGTAAATGTATTACGAGTATAACAACTGTTCAAAATACTACTACTTAAACTGAACTCAGCTCAATTCAACGCAACTCCATCAAATTGGTTTTCATAATGCAAATCATTATAATTTTTTTGCTCGTATTAATTAAACGAAGTTGAGGACTTAATATTAATTCATAAGAGAGGTTTATTTTTTCTTTGTTGTCAAGCGAGGAGTTTTGGTATACTATAGGTCGCGGAAGAGGATCGTAGTAAAACTTATATGTTACAAAAAATGGTCAATTCCTGAAAAGGAAACCGAAGTAATGTCGGCCTTCAAAAATATCTATCATTCACTGGCACAAAACAGCGGTTTTTAGAACTCTTAACAGAAATAACTTCCAAAATAAAAATGCCACACATTTCCACAGACCCTTGATTTAAAGACAATAAATGGCGATCGATTTTGCCCGGCTGACTGATATTAATT